AACATTATGGCAGTACATGTTCTCCTTAGATCCAAAATGTCATTGCTAGTGTCGCAACCAGAGGTTAGTAACCTGTTCATGTATAACTACTAGAACACTTCTGCAAGACTCGCGTTGGATAGTTAAACCCTGTTTTCTCCCTGGCCAGAATCCCAAAACTAAGGTTTCTTCTACTAAGTCATTGACAGCTTCATAAGGCCGTTGCAGGACTGCTTGAATTAGAAACTATTTTGTTCTAACATGGAAGGCTCTTTCCTGGGAGGACTGCAGAAAACTCAACCTCCCACGACTGCACTGGGCTAACACTGCCATTAAATATGCTTTCGGCTAATATAGCTGTTACGTAAGAAACTAGCCACTCCCGTGTACAATCCCAGACCCATTCTCTGGCATGTTGCATAAAACTTACAAGTGAGGCTAGATAATGCGAGTCTCTGGGCTACACAACTTCTTACACAGTTAAATCCACTCACACCTTCCTTTCCTTCCTGATTACGCCTAGGGACACGGCACACGCTCTGCCCCAGCAAAATCTGTGCTGCTAAAAGCACCAAAGCACTTGGGATACCTTGACATTTACCCAATAATTCACTTGGGATTCTTCACCTGTTTGCCTGGCTTGTAGACTCAAAAAAACCAGACTGCTAAAACATGAAGGAGCCAATATCCTACCTAGCAGCACAGAGTGCAGTGTACATGCCCTGCCTCACAAGGTACATAGGAAAAGCAATGGGGGGAAAAAAAATTAAAATCACATGTCCCATTCCAAGAGGAGAAATAGTTTAATACCTAATCCAAATGTCACTGGTCAGCTGATTAACAGCAGCTAGAAGGCAGTAACTGACAAAATACACTTCAAAGTGATGTCTTGAACCCAAGCACACTGGAATTGGGTTGAGGATCATGTAAATCTGCAAAATTTACCTCGGATGGGGTTTGTTTTGAAGAGAAGTCATTTCAGAAGAAGCTCACGTATAATTATAATGGATTATAGCGACTTCAGGTTACAGTGCTGCACGCTCCAGGGAAAGGGAGCGCTGGGGGTAAGCCAGGCAGGGGTCAGCAGAAGTCCTCTGCATTTAGCCCAACCACAGCTTTAGGCAGCTCAGGGGGGCCACCTTCCCCCATTGGGCACAGGTTGTGCATTCACAGCCTTACCAAGCTCTTCATGCACACATTGGCCTGCAGGTCTGCTAAAGAAAACCATGACGAAACCTTCTCACAATGTCCGTTTTTTTCAAAACGGAATAAAAAATATAGCTGGCAAATTTAAGCTGATTTCACATTGGTTTATAATGTCTACCATTAAATGCTTTGAAATATACTTTAGCTAGCAGCACACACAGAGGCATGTATCTGAAAAAATTTCAGTGAAATACCTGACAATTATTAAACCTGAATCCCTCAACTTACACATTTTAAGGGGGAAAAAAAAACACAGAGATATTACTAATTGAAAAAGTGACTTTTCACAGACCTGAAGAAACACAGCCTGTATCTTTTGCTAGAAGCAGACCAAGACTAACAAAATCCTAGCTCGAACACGCACCCATCAACGCTTACGTACCTTGGATCAATTCAGCACTCTCTTACAATCTTGCAGGTACACAGAGTAACACAAAACATAGCCCCCTGAAAACTGGACACTGGGGCAATCCCCACCTTGTTTGTTTTAGCTCGAGAGGTACGTGTGGCTTGTGGTACTCTGCCACGCATGCACATCCCTCAAACTCCTTAGCAAATTTCTGATTTCTGGCAACATCCTTCTAAATGTTTCTGCTGCTCTGGTCCTCATTACAGAGGCACCGTCCTCCTTATAGCTCCAGTGTGGGTTTTTGGAGTGGGTTGCTGGGGTTTTTCCCCCCCCCCCTACCTACACACAGACAGAAACAAAAAGCAGCATCCAATTTGATCACACAGTTTTGGTTTCTTTTCATAAACAAAACAGTAAGATAGTAGCCTGACTCACCCACACACTCAAATGCCTCCTGGGCATTCACCTCAGCTCTGTGAAACACCAGCCACCTTAAAGTCAGTAACAACCCCCCTCAACCCATACTGGAGCACTATGCTGATGCCGCTGACTTTAACCCTCCTGGCCTTGCAGAACTCCAAGGCCAGCAGTGCTGACCTCCCACAGCAGTTAATCCTCATGTAAACTTTGAGGGGAATTTTTCAAGAGATTATTCGCGCTATTATGTGGATTAGAGCAAGACAAATACAAAGACTCAACTAAGAATCACCTATTGCAATATACTGTTTGTAAAAAAAAATACTGATTCACTGGTATTATAACACCACAGACAAACAACCATTCAAGTTCCTTCCACATTATTCCCAACTACTTCCTTCCAAAAGGAAGGAATGTTCCCCCCACCCAGGAAAGCGGGTATCCAGACACAACTATTTTAAGGGGGTGAAGGGTGTACCTAACTGCAGCAGATATTTTGGGGGATCTACGCAAGAGACTGAGAGCACGTGGAGATATCTGCCATCTGGCACGCTTCACAGTGTCTGCATTAAGGACTCCCATCCTGAGCCAGGGAGCAGTCATCTTCAGCAGGGTTGCTCAGCAGAATTGAGGGTGACCAGTCACAGCTTTGACAGATAGAGGTAAATCCCAACACTTTGATTCCAAAAGTTCTGGTTCAACCAGTTCCTCTGGCTTGCAACTCAAGTCTCCCCCCCACCATCCATCATCATTTCAGAGCCTCTTTCTTTTAAGCCACTTTTACATCTCATTTATTTTCTAGGCTTCACATGCTGCGCCAAAACACAGGCCTCTCCTCTCCCTTCTAAAGCAACGGGGATGAGAGATGTTTCTTTCCCAGACAGGATACCCCTCCTACAAAATGCTTCCCAGGGGACTTTTCCTTTTGGCAGAAATAGCCAAGACTTCACAAGTTGCCTTTTCAATGCTGCTGAACAACCAAAATTCACTGCAGATACAAAAAAGTTTTCCAGCCGAGGAATCAGACGTCAGTAGTGCAGGGACCAGGTTGCCGAGAGCTCCCCAGGTCTCCAGCTGAGTCAGTGAAAAAAATGCTGTTTTACCAGCACTTGGGGAGCACACGCAGCTACACCAGAAGGCCAGAAGTATGCAAAGCTGCAGCACTTCTGACCCATGTTGACTCCCCAGATGACCTACCTTTCCTATAAACAAAATGGCATTTTCACCCGTCTGTTCCCATCAAAAGGCGACAACCTGCAGACCTACAAGCCACCTTGCTCTTGTCCTCTTGGAGACTTCACTCACCACGCAGAGGGATTTTGGACTGCCCGCACCAGGAGTCTAACTGTGAGGAAAATACCTGCGTAGCACATTTCACCAAAAGAACCTCCTTTGCCTTATAGCATGGTCAGGAAGAGAACATAGCACCTATTTTACAGGCCTGCTGCACCTCGCTTGGCCTGTGTGTGCAGATCTAAGAGTTGCAGCCAACCCTAGGCCATGCTCCATCCCAGAGGCCAGCCAAGAAACCAGGAGTCACAGGGGAAAAGCCCTCACAAGCAGCAGTTCCTGCAGGACAGCAAGGTACAGAGGGGAGGCACTTCTCCCGCGCAATCTGTGCTACCACCTCACACCTTTGGTGGCTGTAGCTTAGGCCTGCCGAGCAGAAGGGAGCCCAGTGACACACAGGCTCGCTTCCTGGTGCTGTCAGCACCGGGACAGAACCTGCCAACAGATTATTCACCAGCAAAAAAAGCTTGTTTTCCCATGTTACCAGGATGAGGCCAGCTTGCATTAAAAAAAGACTGTGACAGCTTCTCAGGTTTAGCTCATATAGTTCTTAAGCTCCTAGGTCCAAAAGGACCTTGGAAATATCAGCCAAGGCAAACCTATATTGTAAATTTCAAGTCCAAAAAAAAGAAAAAAAAATCACTATAGTTACTAGTTGAAGAACTGTTTTTGGTGCTCCTCTCAGCTCAGCATGCAGCAGAACATTATCAGAAACGATGTCTGAAAGATGGTCACAGATCTATTTTCTCGTACACTGCGGTGACTTTTTACAAACCACAGCACACACAGAGTCCCTTTTCCATTTTAGGGTTCTTTCTGTAAAAGCCAACACAGGTCCTCCCACTCAGCTCTCATACAGCAGCTACACTCTCCTTCGCAATTACTGTTTTGACTGAAATCGCAAAGGATGCTGCGCAGGAGACAGACCAGGAGCAGGTCTAAGGAGGCCAACATCTCTCTGAAGGTCGAGGCTAAGGTTACCAGCCAGAGCCATTCATAAGGTTCCTTATAGCCCAAACAAATGAAATGTAAAATGATAGTTAAGGCAGTAGTGCTGGTTACAATTAAAAAAAATACCACCAGTAGCTTGCTGCACCGCAAGGACTGTACACTTAGAGTTTTATAACCCCTACTGTTCATTTTTAGTTTTTTAACTACTTTATTTTGAAGAAAAATGCAATTGGGACTACCGCTTCCCCTGCAGAAACCCCACACAAACAGAAATCCCTCATCCCAGACCACAGCGAGCTCTACTCAGCCTACCTGTGCACATGACATATCTACAAGGAATTTACTCCTGTGTTTTATTCCTCTCCGCTTAAGGTAGGAAAAGAGGCAACTGTCTGAAGAAAGTTAGAGAGAAGACCACTGCTTTCTTTATTTACAGCACCTTGTTCTGCACCAAAACATTTGGCAATTTTTGTTTTGTTTTGGTTTTTTTTTTTAAACTCCCAGTTTAGGGTAGGTGGGAAACAATTAACTCCTGAAATCCCCTCAATTTCTAAAGCATTTAAAAAAAAACCAAAACCAAACCAAACCCAGCAAACCCGCCCTGGGTTTACACATGGGAAGACCAGCAATGTCAGCTTGCAGATGCCATTGGATTGCAAGTCTGTCAAGGACAATGAAATATTAGGGGATAGAGGGGAAGGCGGAGTGCACGGGAAAGGCCAAAGCCTCCCTTTCCAGCTTTGTGAGGGAAAGGGGGAGGGAAAAGAAGCAAAGGCAGAGCGCTCTGCAAAAGGCACTGGGGTCTTACCTTCCGCCAGCACCTCGTCCACCGTCACCTGGTACCGGCCGATGCTGAAGACCCTGCCGATGTACCCGCTGCCCGGGCCACCGCTGCCGCCGCCACCGCCACTGGTGCCCGATCCAGGGCCAGAGCCACCCTGCTCCCGACGCGAGTCGAAAAACTTCTTCTTTTAGCAGGAGGCGGCAGCTGCCTGGTGATGGGGGCGATGCTATTTTTAAGGTCCCAAACCCCCTCCTTGTTCCTCCCGCAGCCCGGCGAGGGGGACCCGGGGCCGCTCGCCTTGCGGGGCCAAGCAGAGCAGGCGCGCTGTCCTCCGGGGGATTCACACCTGCAAAACCACAGGGGGGATAACGGGAGGGGAAAGGCGGTTATCGCCACAGCACGGCCCGGGCCACCGCAGCCCCCTCAGGGGAGGCCTGACTGACAGGGCCCCCCGCCCGGTACCTCTCTGCGGACGGGGGGTGCCTCCATGCCCCCCGCAGCGGCGCCCAGGGCCGGCCTGCCGCAGCCCCACCGGCT